ACCCAGATAAAATAAACTCTATCTAATTTTTTTTTTTTTAGATGGGAACTTTTTGGCCTTTTATAAAAATATTTCGCAGACTAACACGGATGTCACAAATTGTTTAATCTAGGTGATTGAATCCCTATTACAAGTGATATATTTATCCTTCGGGATAAGTGTATTACTTGTAGTATTGTATTCAATTATTTAAGTTATTTAAAATGTGAGACCCGTTTGGTCTCATCTATTTTAAAATTAAAATGTTACTTTTTAAAATAAAAAAGGTTGTATCCATACTTAAATTATTTTCAAAATCACAAAATCACTACTTTTTCAAACCACGAAGTTAAAAACGGCCGGCACCAGCACAAACCATCAACCGAATAAAACATAGAGAACCCAAACCATCAACCGAGTAGAGCACAGAGATCTCAAAAAATTTGCAAAATCTAATATCACAACACAACCACTACAAACTTTCAATCGAATAGAGCACAGAGAACCCAAACCATCAATCAAATAGAGCATAGAGAACCCAAGGAAATCATAAAATCCAGACTCCCAAACTTGAAACTTCAAACCGCTAATGAGAAAGCCGCAAATTGCAAAGAGAAAGCCACAAATCGTAAAATTATTTCAAACCGCATAAGTAATGGTAGAGAATACTGTGGGATGACGAAGAGCAAATGAATCAAATGGAGTCAGAGATCGGAGAAGAAAGGCAAACCTTAGCCGCCAAAGCTACGGATCGGAGAGGAACGAGAGAGAGGCGAGATATGTTACCTTTAGGGCAGAATCACAAGGGAGAAAAGAGCGAGCAGCAAGGGTGGGGGTGATAAGATCACAAAGAAACACGGGATGCAGAGTCGAACCTACGGCTAGAGTTTAAGCTGGCTTTTCCCAAAACGCCACCGCACCGCATTAACCAAACAACCATCCTAGCGTTTACCCAACACACCACAACAAAAATACTACCCCAAACGGCCCCTAAGTCCCCTAAACAACGTGATAGCAACTTTTTCATTATTAATAGGTTCTCCAAAATGTCATATTTTTTATTTTGCTCGTAATCCAATGATGCATCACAAATAACAAAGTTGTTTTTTAAAACTAGACAGGTTTTTCCGTTCATAAAAAATTCACATAGAGATAACAAATTTGTATCATATTTATAAAAAATATTGTAAAACATTAATAAATACTAAATTCAAATTCTCTTTTGTATTCACCCTCTAATTGATGGCCAATCTGAGGTGACTAGCAAAACATTATAGAATGTACTCAAGTGTTTGGTGGAAAAAAATCTATAAATCAAGGTCATGACCTTCCTAAAATAAAATTTGCATAAAATATTATCATTTCAAGAACTACAAAAAAATACATCTAATTTAAAGAAACTGGTTAATCTTACTAACATACTATACCATGAAATTTAAAATTTAATATTTGCCCATAATTTTCATAGTCGTTATAAAGATGAAAAAAGTGGAAAAAAATATTACTAAAAAACTAAAAAAAGAAATAAAAATAAAATCTTTAAAAAATATAATGTAGATTATGTGTTGATTTGTATTCAGCAAGAGAGTTATCCTTCCACTGAATATAAAAAATAAAAAAAGACACCTTATAAGCCTTTCAAACTTATTAGGAAACTCAATTCTAATACTTTTGTTCTTAAATTACGTCATGATATATTAATAAACTCTATTTTTAATGTGAATGATTTAATATCATGAAAAGAGTTGGCCAACCACCAAATTTATATAGTAATATTTTTACAGTAACATGATCATCATTTGCAAGTACATATCCAGTAGTTATTGTTTGAGATTGAAAATAAGATTAATTAAGCACCATCAAATGAGTGTTCAAATAAAAAATTTTAAGGGGAATAAATCGGCAAATAACTAAGTAAGAATACTTGGTTTGCCGACAAAGAGCTTAAAAATATTACCCCAAAACTGGTGGAAGACTATTAAGAGTTTTATTTTTTAAAAATAGATCTTTATGGTCCAAGAGAATTGAGGTGCCTCGTGATGACAACAGCGGACCAATCACAAAAAGCCAACGAGAAACAAAAAAGGAATTTATTTAAAAACATGGGTCAAGGACTTGAGGCTAATTAAAAATGACAAGTTAATTTTTGCATTTTTATGTATTAGAGAAATGGTATGGAGTTGTGGAGGGGAGATTATAGAAGAGTTCTCTAGAGAAAGTTATCTCGGGTTTATGAAAATTATTGATAATTACCGTTCACTAAACTAATAAGGTTGAAAATAGTTACTTTCTAGTAAAAAGTCCATTCAAAAGCTCCATAGATGCTATCACTCAAAGATAGCCCTAACTTACCTAGTCTCATTCTAAAATTTATTTGGTAAACTTAGATTTCTTTAAAACTTATAAAACTCTTCATATCTTAACCATACATTGATTTATCATTTTCCACAATTATCTTGCCACTTCCTTTGAACCAAATTCAAAGAACTAGCTTCATACTTCAAATCGGCCAAGCTAAATCCGTCAAGGCATAGTTTCAGAGAAGCCTCCACTTCAATACTCAAAACCCTTGGAATAATGCCACAAACTCTAGAACTAAAATTTAAACTTCATTGTACCATTTTCAAGTGTTCTCAAGATCAAGATGTTCAGAATTTTACAACAAAAAATTTTTTATATCATTATACTTTATCTCAAGTGTGAAGAATAAACCAACCTTTGTCAACCCTAAACTTTTCACTACTACCACACCATAAAATTTTTAACCATACCATTCCTAAGACATAAAAGAAACTTTCTACAGCAAGCTTAGCTCTTGAAACACTTTAAAAAGAAAACTATATCACACCTAGTCAAACCCTTAAAGGGAGTCAAAATTAGTATTACGTACTTCAAAAAACCAGTCAACCCATACTAAATGATTTACATGGATAGAGAGACTTGGCTTTAGCTCATAACAGCCTTCATAACGATTTACACACATACCTTGCCAAGTTATCTTCTCTTAGTCAAAACCATGAAGAGAAGAAGAAAGAATGCAGAAAAAACACTTGCATCTTCTTTTATCTCCCCTGGATCTCTCTAGCTTGCTACATGGCCAAGGAAATTAAGCAAGGACAAACCCACTAGAGGCTTTGCTTGACTCCAATCACTCCTGATTACATATGTCGCCTCTCTAAAAACTTTAACCCTTTTAGGACCCCTAAAACTTAGAGGAGAGCCTTAAGGAAAGGTTGATGTGATCCTAAAGGAAACCTATAGATAGAATATTCCTTCTTTCACCTCCAATCAGGAGCTAGTATCACTTTCTAAAGAAAAAAACATAGGGAGTTTCACCCACCGCAGTAATAATTCATGTGAAATTTTGAATCAAATATGTTCACCAATCTAGCCTTAATAAAAGGTTAATGAGTATAATTGAGTTAAGTTGATAATCATCAATCCAAAATCAGGAAGCATCCACACCAAGTACTCATCAATTGTCGTGTATGTAATAACTACAACTGCATTGCTTTATGACAAAGCAATTTGCAAGTTGGATAAATTAGGCATTTAAAAAAAAGACAAAAGTCCTTCCATTTTTTTTTTTTTTGTGTACTGTAAAATTCAGAACCAAGTATGAAAACCTTGTGTTCAACAATATAAGCCAGACCAAAATAAGTGAGCAAGCAAATTGAGCAATAATCATTCTAGGTGCATCTCTATGGAGAAATCAAAAATAGAGTTGAAATGCAAAAAATCAACAAGAGAGCTGAGTGCAGATCCAGAAGCGGAAAAATAATTCATGGCATACAGAAAAAAAACATTTGGGTATGGTAATAGATTCTAGTAAAAACAATTACAAACTTTTTGCATCAAGTACTTCTGCACTTTCTTGTGTGAAACAAAATGCATTCATTATGCCTGATGATTAAGCTGCCAAAGGAACAAGGACTACAGAAGCACAGTACTTATTACCTCATAAATGCTAGTACTATGATCAGTGGACAGCTGTATAGCATGCATTTTTTGTCCACAGAGAGAGATTTCCAAGCTCTTGTTAACTCTCCTGATATGGTTATTTTGATTGCGCATAGGAGATTCCTCTGATATCCTGTCAAGCTCCATATGAACCAGAGGGCCCCCTGGCCTATTTCGGCACCTTAAACCATCTGTTCCAAGATCGGAATTACCAAAGCAGTCATTTAGTCTATCTTGTGCCAAGACAACACGACTGTCGCCAAGATTCATTACATAAACATCTTGATCCTTCATCAACATCACAAGAACGCAGGATCCCATCAGTGCAAGCTCAGGATTTATATCAAGTGCCTTCTCCACCATGTCAATGTAAGCATCCTCTGTAGTTTGAAGTGCTTTTGCCATAGCCTTCAGTACAGCACAATGATCCACTGGTTCCGACTTGCATCTCCTAATGACCAATGAAGGATTGGCCACCTTCTCATCCAGATGGTGTTGATCTCTGTGCCAATCATAACTCCATGGGAAAAGTTTTTTCCTTAATGATTTCTGCTTCCTGTACATTTTTCCCAACTTGAATCCAATCAAAGATTTCTTCATCATGTGCTTCTGTGTGGAAGATGAAACCGAAGATTTAACTATTTGTTCTGAGCCAACGGATGCCCCCTCAAGTGTATCTTCACTTTCTCTTACACAAACAATTACATCAACGTGGCCCGAGCTTTCTCCCTTGATGCTCGTGGCACATGAAAAATTATTTGCCTCTGCTAAATCTTCTGTAGCACATAACTCTCCTTGAAAATTTGGAAGTGGATCTCCAGATTTCTCAATGATGGTATCCCGTCCCAAACAAGACTCATTGGGTATGGAGTACTCCTCAAGTTCCATTTGAAGAAGTTCATATAATCGCTTGCTTTTCCTGTGTGTCATCCATGAGTTGTCTTTTGGGCAGCAAGAAGCATCTTTTAGATCATCATCAGCAGCTACATCTGCATTCTTTTCATCAACATATGCACGCTGATCTTGGTTCACTACACCTAATTGCTGAATGTCTGATTCCCTGGCCCTAACTCTACCTTCTAAAGTGTAATCATCTAGTACTGATTCATTTTCTAAATCATCACCCACAGGACAATTCCCTACATTTTTATTTCGCTCTGATGGTACAGGAGGAGGAACTTCTGCAGACAACTGGTTCTTAGAGAGATCATTACATGATTGAGAACCAGAAAGCAGTGTTTCAGTGCAGCCATTATGGACCATTGGAGGCATGAATTCTGGTTGTAGACATTCTGAAGAACAGGGAACATTGTTTGCAGAAATAACAGTTGTAGGTGAACCCCTTTGAGATCCATCTTCATAATCCCACAACAAACCTTCCAATTCTTTATCTATTGCTTTGTAAAGGTTGCTCATAAGAAAATCAGGTGCATCAGGGCCACTGAAACCATCATAGATCCCAATGAATAGCCACCCTTGCTCTTCAGACAAAACAACATGAACCCTGTCCTCACCAGCCTTACCATGAGCCCATTGCAAGTTCCTCGTACATCTATATTCAGGTTCAGACGACCCAACCTCAACACAGTTCTGTGATGCTGGCTGTCTAAGATTTTCCTCCTTAGGATGCCAAACCATCTGCACCATTGGATGCAAAAGTACTCTCTGCATCCAACCAGAACCCTGCAAGCCTTTTGTAAATGTTCGAGAGAAAGCACGTCTCATGGGTCTACTCACACTCCTGACAAGACGTTTGATCCCAGCATTTCTCTGACCATAGCTAAGCGGAGCAGAAAAATTGCATCTATCTGTTCCATCAAGAGGACCAGACATGAACATACCTTTATCTAGTGGCCCTGACATGCAGCCTGCCCCTCTTTCCAAAGGTCCAGAAGCAAACCCTCTCTCCAAAGGCCCAGAAGCAAACCCTCTCTCTAAAGGCCCTGATAAAAAGCCATTCAAGGGTCCAGACCCTCGAGGCACTGGCTGCAGAGGTATGGCAGCAAACGAAGCCGTGCTCTCAAAAGAAGCAGCGGGCTCCTGGACATCACCAGCTAGCAACACGTTCAAATTTCCACCAGTCCTGGCTGTAGAAGCATTGGCACTGACTGAGGCTCCAGAAATGGTCTTAAAAGTGGTTTCAGAAAGGTTCTTATTAGGTCTTTGCTGGCCACCCACGTCCTCAGCACTCACTTCCTGCCTAAAAGAGCCACTCTGTATATCGGAACTGAGGTTACTTGAATCTAAGGTGTACCTCTCAGAGGTGGATGGAGTTATTGCCGGAGAGTCAAAAATCACTGGCCTAACATAACAGAAGGAATGGCCTAACCCTTCATCTAAGGGCTCTAAAAACTCCAAATTGTTTCCATCCTTAACATTGCCGGATGGAACGAAGCAACCGATGACCCGTGAGCTGCTGTTTCCCATACCCTATCTAGCAAAGCATAAACGATCCACAGCCGATGATAATTCTATCAAAAAATAGCCAGGATGGATGAGCGCACCGATTGCTCTACAGAAGCAGCAGCACGTAAGCAGCAAGGTCACCGCCGACGGCAATGAAAACAGCCGCAAAAAACCGAAGTATCCCTTAACCAGCAGAATCCTTTCCCGGTTTCTTTGCATCATAAGCAATGGAGGCACAAAGCCTACAATATCAGAACCCAAATAACCTATAGCACCCGCATACAAAACAAACCCAATCGAATTCATCAGCTTTAACTGTAAAAATAGTCAGCACAGAAAACATTAAGAAAAAATAAAGGTTTAGCAATGGCGACTCCCATTGATACCTGTTGAGGAGCAGTAGGCGAGGCTCCTACTGAAACCGCCGATCGGAGCCCTCCGCGGACAGATCTACATGCCCAAGCGAGAAACAAGACCAGGAGGAAGAGGTAAAGCAAGCCAGGGGATGTCTCAAGAGGAAGAAATCGAGAAGGCCCAGATGAGAAGGGGAAGGAGAGTCACGCCAAGATGAAATTTTTCAGAGAATGAGCTGGCAGAATAGGGGAGAAGTCAAAGTGACAGGCGGAAAAAAGTGGAGTTGGTTTTTTTGCACCGAAGAAATGAAAAATGGATGGGGATGGTCGGGTCTCCCTACAGTCTCATGAGGGGGAAGAGGGAGAAGAGGAGGGGGGAATATAATTGTAGTCTCTGTACGGTAGAGGGGTCACTTTCTTGGGGTTTTCAAATGGGTTTGAACTGCCAAAGCAACACATAGTTGAAAGAGAAAAATAAAAAGCTCTTCTTCACTAATTTTTTTTGTAATTTTTCTTTCTTTTTTTTTTTTTTGTTTTTTCTGCTTGCGATCTTTTCTTTATAATTTTGGATTTCTCAAAATGTAACTTTTTTTTTCTCCTTGCCGCCTCTTCTTGTCGCCTTCCCGTTTTGACGAGCATCAGCGCTCTAAAAAAGCAGAGGTAAGGCTCCAACCAATTTCATCCAGCTCTCACTCTCTCTCTCTCTCGATCTTCTTCCTCCTAATCTCTATCTTTCCTCTCTCTCAGTTTTGCTCGAAACATTCGCCCAATTGAACCTGTACGATACATTCGCTTTGGAACTAGACAGGAAAGCAGCAGTGGAATCGCAATGTACAAAGACCTGAAACTCCCATATTTCTTCTCCTTCTGTTAGCTCCTACCCACAATTAATGAGGAAGGTAACATTCAACTATCTCCCATTTCTCCCACCTGCTCGCGCCACGACTTCTCTGATCTCGTGAATCCATCTCCCAATGCTTAACCTGGGATTTAAGGCAAATCAGAGGAGAAATGTGATTTGAGAACGGTAGGGTTTAAAGCACATTTTTTTAATTAATATTAAGAAGGTACACTATTTCTCCCTTTTAAAAATATATAATAATATAATAAATTAAAAACTTTATTAATAGTAATATTGAGAATTGATTAGGTTATCCTTTCAAATAACTTTAATCGCATAATTAATTATATGTTCTTTTCTAGTTGGTTTAGAATGCTAGTCGAGCCGTCGAACTTATAGAAGTATCACGTTACCACCTCGAGGTAAATGACTATTGTTTATTGGAGGAAAAATGTATCCTTCCTAGTTAGGGACATTATTCCTTATTAATTGTAGTAGAATATCATATTTATTGTCTATGTTTTGTCCGTCCTGCCCTTACTACTTCAATTATGGTGTTGCACTTATTATAGATCACTTTATTGTTAATGATGAAATTTCTGACTACCTTAATTTGTTGTTGCATATTTGATTTAATCTTGCAGTATGATGTTTTCTTTTTCTGCACTTGTATGAATTTGCATATGTTATATCACAAGTTGCATGAAATATTTTAACTTTAACATGGTATACCTATAAAAACAATTTGGCTTACTTGTGTGTGATGGTGTGTAGGTCCATAGAGCCCTTTGGATTTTGGCTAGTCGGGTCGATGGGCCCATAGAGTGAAGACTCTACAGAAAATTATCGGGTTTCCTTGGGTTAGTATTTTTTCTTCTTGGGTTCAGGGTGCCTGTGAAACTGGCTATATAAATATAAATAAAAACATAATAATAAGAAACATAATGGAAAATGCTTGTATGCTTCCATATTGCATACATAATTGATATCTACCCCTCATGTTGGTTTTACAGTGTTACATACGCATATATCGATTCTTCCTTGTTGTCCTTGTTGCATGTTGTTCATGTTTTAATAGATAGATGTTATTTACAGAGTTTTTCAAACTCATTTTTGATTTTCTTACATCACAGGTTCTATTCATCCGTCAGTAGGATCATCTCCACCGGATTAAGTTTTTCAATTCTAGTTTCTCAGTTATAGCATTTTTCCTTAGTATTTATTTTAGTTATTTATTTTCTTTGTTGGATATGGGTAGTTGTTCCCTGTTGTTATGTATGTATTGACTAAACTAAATTTCTATTTTTTATCCAGGTTGTATCATTGAAATTTCAAATTTAATAAAATTTACATTTTCCTTCTATTTGCAATACAAGTCTTTCTTTAAGAATACAAAATAGACTCAAACCATTTCCTCATGTCTTGCATTATCGTGGTTTACCGCATTCTAAACCCGGGGTGGGATAACATTTATTTAAAAAGTCAATTTATAGTGTATTAATTAAAAATAAAATTAAAAATCTTTAGTGACTTGCCCAAATGTGTGTGTGTGTGTGTGCGCGCGCTCTTGTGATTTTCAGGCAATCTAGGGATCCTTTGTGGAAATGTCTTTTTATCAAACTTTTTGTGGTTTCATTTGGATTTGGTTGGTTTTTACGAATTGATTCTGCCTTGTTTAGTTTGGAATTTCTTTTGTGATCCTTTTGTTTTGTATTTGGTTGGATTCTCTTCATATTTCGCTAGAAATTGTATTTTTAGCGATTTGGTTTTTTCATTACCGCCCTTATGGCGACACCTTCCTTTAATGATGTGTTGAAGGTTACCCAAATGATTGATGGGAATTCACATTGTTTTCTGAATTGTTTGCATGAGGATTATGCTAGTAATTTTGAAGATGATCTATTAAAGAATGTTGGGATGAAGTCTGGCAAACCCATTCCATATTTCTCTAAAGTAGAAACTTTAAAGATGATTGAGCCTCTTAAATTTTCCCAAATTAACAAGTTTACATATGGACTTCCTAAAATTGTTATAATGCGTACATTCTTTGAAAATTTAAAACTCTTTGGTGAATGAAAAGTGGGAGCAACAGATGATGGACATATTTTCATTAAACTTAATAAGGAAGAGGATTACACTTGGATTTTTGTAGTAAGTTTTAGTCTATAGAGAAAATTCTGATAAAAGTCCTAAAATGGACTCCAAATTTTGATCCTTCCACCTAACTTCCAATTATTCCTATGTGGCTCACCTTTCTTAGGTTAAGGCTACACTATGTTAATCAGAAAGTCTTGTATTCAATTTAAGCTATATTTGGAAAGCATTTAAAGGTTGATTTAGCCACTTATTCCATCAGTTGACCTTCTGCAGCTAGGATTCTTGTAGAAAGAGAAATTGATTCCCCTTTGGTTGATGAAATTTGGTTGGGATCTCAAATAATGGTTATTAGCAAATCGTTGAGCAAGAATATGCACTCAAATATTGTAATAAATGCATATTTTTTTATCATAATCTTGAGAATCGTCATGTTGTGCATCTAGAGTTAAAGAAGGTTGGCAAGAGGAGGACAGTGAATAAAGGTATCCCCCATGTGTCAAGGAACTGAAATCATGAGCATCCTGTGGAAAAAAATAATTTAGATGCATCCATAGAAGAAGACATCTCGTAAGCTCATACTGATCATGATACTATAAAAGCACAAACTAATCTCAATAGGGTAATTGAGGTGAATGAAAATGAGGTTACTATAGTCAAACTTATAAATGGGGTCTTCTTAAATGATCTTGTATCCATCATGAGCTAAAAAAAGAAATGGTGGAGGTAGATTTAAATAACATGGGAATAAGCAATGCTATTCAGGATATCAATGGTGCATGGCAAATTCAGTCAACCAGAAGGATAAGAACTCATGCAAACAAGGAATTAAAATATATGAATAAAGAGGCTATAATACATTCAAAGGAAAACTCCTTAGCATGTATTTTGGCAAATGTAAATGATGGGGCACCCTCTAGAGATACTAGTGGGAGAGCATTTTTTTATGGTTAAATTCTGCATTTGCAATGTGAGAGGCATTGTTAAAAAGCAAGCCTCCAATAGAATTAGGATTTGTGTAGGGTTTATAATCTTAGTTATTTTGGCATCCTTGAACCACTTATAAATGAGATGAATATTCCAAATGTTGTTAGTAAGTTCGGAAATTTCATTTTTTCTTACAACTATAATTTAAAAATCTAGTTTCATTGGAAAAAGGAGGCAGGAAATTTCATTTTTTCTTACAACTATAATTTAAAAATCTAGTTTCATTGGAAAAAGGAGGCAGGGATAAGAGTTCTAGTGGATAACCCTTAATTCCTTCATGTAGAAGTTAAATTTATGGAATTCCTTGTGCAGGTCTCTATTATATATGCTGGTTTTATTGCTTCTGATAGAGCTCAATTATGGAATGACTTGATGAAAGTTAAATCCAAGGGCAAAACCTTCCAGATTTTTAAAAATGTAAGGCACCTATCCAAACTTCTTAGATATGGTGAAAAGTAATTGACTTAATGGCTATCATAACAATCCTTGAGTTTCTTTTTGACGGTCACATAAGAATGTGGTAACTAAGGGAGGTATTTGGAGAAGTTTTCAAAGCTATAATGATAGTTGGGGAGCAGGTCTCAAAAATTAAAAAAGAGGTTAAGGATGGGGTGAAGCGGGATGAAGCTCTTATAAGGGCACAATGTATCTTAGAGGATTGTCTTTAAAGAGAAACTAATTTTCTAAATAAAAAATATTCTTATCTCAGTTATTTGCAAAGAGACATGAACATAGAATTCTCTTATGCTTTAATAAAGCATAAAAGACAAGATAATGCAATCATTTGGATTAAAAATTAAGAGGATAATTGGATTCATTCCCAAACTGATATAATCCAATATGCTATAGATTACTTTAGTAATTTATTCAAAGAGTTGAAGGTCAATAGAGCACAACTGGATGGATGTATTTTCCCTATTAACACTAGAATTGCTAATGTTGCCGTAGTTAGCAATAGTCTTGATGAATTGAAAGTGTTGGATGCAGGCCAATCCATTGATAAAAGTAAATTGATTGGTCATGATGGCTTTACATCTGCCTTATATATATATATATATATGCTTGGGATATTGTTAAAACCGATGTGGTGGCTGTCATCTAAAGCTTTTCTCGTGGTGGTTTTCTTCATAAATATTAATATATTGTCTTATTCCTAAGGATAATTTGATGCATTAGTGGGATAAGTTTAGGCCTATTAGTTTAACTATTGTGATTTCTAAAATCATAAGTAAAATTATGGTATAGAGCCTTCAACCTTTGTAAAATAATCTTATTTTCCCACAACAAATAACTCTCATTACTGAGAGAAGTATAATGATAATATCTTGACCGCATAGAAATTATTATTGAATATTGATTCTAAATGTAGAGGCGGTAATTATGTTATGAAGGTTGAAATAAAAAAAGCTTTTTGTAACATTAGTTGGGGTTTCATTGTTAATGTGCTTAAAAGTAAAGGGTTTGATGATGATTTTTGTAGTCTCA